ATTTGTTTAACAGACAGCCTCTAGCAGAGACTCAAATCAGCCATATATGTTTATTTCTTCAGTTGAAATATTGTCTTTTTAATGCTAAATTCTAAACATGTTTCCAGCACAGGCAGGTCAATCAGAGCTGTCTTCAAATTTCAGTCTCCAACCTGATGTTGCACATTTGTAGATATCACATTTGTTGCAATTGTATATTTTGGATTATGTAGCAAATCAATCTTCTGAAAAGAAGTCATGGTAGCTCAATTAGATTTTGACACTTTAGTAGTTGCCTAAATTCTCTTTGTGATAAAACAGCAAGACAGCTTTGCTGCGTAAGATCGTTTAAATGCCAACAGTTATATGCTTCCTGACTTCTGAACTCTTGCAGGAGAATAAAATGTTTACGAACTTTCAACAAGTGCAGCTGTAACAAGGAGTGATGTAGTAATTTGGCTAAATGTGATGTAGGAGTTTGGAATGACAGTTTAAGCATTACATTGTGTAGGAATAGAAGAATTCAAATCTCTGTGTGTTAAATTGGTTTAAACAGAATATGGGTTAAATGTTCTGTTATTTCTGACCCCTTGGTTCATGACAGAGAGAGTTTTCTCATGTTCTGTTCTGTTGAAACTTAATTTGAAATTATCTTTTAGAAAAACTCAGGGTCCATACTAGCCCTCAGCCTAGACATCAAAAATATGCTTGATTTAGTCAGCTGTTTCAAAACAAGAATGAGTGGGAAAGGGAAGCTGATGCAGACACTTTATGTTAGTGTTAGATAACTGTCTAACAAGATATTAAGAATGTATTGATTTTATAGTCTCTTGAATAGTTTGTGATAAATGTGGTAAGAATGCTGTGTGGGTTGAGTAGAAAACCTGAACGGCTTTTACCTATACGGGAGGTCTCACTCATTTTCAGTTTGTGTTGTATTACTTTTATGTAACACAACTTCCAGCACAGTAAGACAGTATGATTGCCATTTTCTTGTTGAAAACTAAACATGTTTTCATATATGAAGATTTAACCTAATGTAGTGTGTACTGGGATTACGTAGCAGGATGGGACTCATTGCATGTGAAGTCTTCATGTAAGTGGTTTGTGATTTTTTTATCCTTGTAATTTTTTGGTTTTGCTTTTTGTAGACCCTACTGGAAGCACTGACAGTTGCCATTACAGGTAAGTAGTAGCCATCCTATTGTCTGATGCCATAAAGAATTTGGAAAAGGAACCCGATACTAATTGTACTAGGATTGTACTAATTGCCATCGAGTTTTCTAGATGTGATTGAAATGATAATGAATCCTCTTTGAAAATTTTAATGGCAGTGATATGAATTTGGCAAAAACCAGGGAATCAAAGGAGAAAACTGGATTCTGATCCAGAACTGAAACTATACAAACCTGAAGTGAGAAATGAGTTGTGCCATCCATTCTTTCAGTAGAGCTAGCAATGTTCTTTCCTATACAGCAGCTCTCAGCTGATCTGCAAACTGAAATATCCCTATCTTCTCTCAGTTTTCTCAAAGGGAGTTTGAGTTTGTAGAGTTCTGTACTTCATGGTCAGGGCTGAAGTGGGGTGGTGTGTGGTCAGGTCCTGGCATCACCTTGCACTGTATCTTCTAGCATAAGATGAAACCTCTTCATTGTGGCTTATGATCTCCTGCAAAAAAAAAAAAAAAAAAAAAAAAAAAAGTCATTTGGGGAAAAGATTAAGGAGGAAGGAGGGAAGAAAAAGTCTCCACTCCTGTTATCATTCATCTACTATTCCCTAATCAAAACTTTGAGCATTTACAGAGGATTGGTTTTTTATTCTCTTGTTTCAATGTCATGGAAAATTCAATTAGTTTCTTCCTTAAGATCTCACTTATCTATGCTTAAAATATTTTTGATTTTTTTGGCTTTTTGTTGTGAGTAGGGAAGGCCTCTTATTTCCATTTAAGAAGCTACAGCTGTAAAGTAACTGTCCACCTTAGCTAGTGCAAGGTCGCTCAGTCCTACTGTTGTGAATTTGAGGTACAAAAACAAGTTCAGGTTTTTTTTGTTCACAGTTAAGATTTTTTTTCCTGTGTGTGTAAGTTTAAACTTGTAGTGTTCTTTAATTGACAGGTTACTTTTTCTGTTTATAGTGAGTTTCTATGATGTCTCCATCGTCTTGCAAGCCTTTATTCTTACTACTGCTGTATTTCTTGGATTGACTGCTTATACCTTGCAGTCAAAGAGAGACTTCAGCAAGTTTGGAGCAGGGTATGTTGCCATATTGATGATTTTTAGAAATATCTTTTTTTGTTAAGGTTGTTTTTTCTTTCTTAAAGCAAGCTTTGTGGATATAATAAGGAATGCAGGGCAATAGGGAGTGGTAAGCATGTTACTTATCTGAAATTATTAATTTTACACAGTTATGCTTTCTTGGTAAATTCTTTCAGTGATTGTGATTCTTAAAACCACTAGAAAGCAGTTTACCTGGATTTTTCACTGAGGCAGAAGGCAACTGTTTCAATTTTAAAAAAATTAAAAGTTAGAACATAGCTTTTGACAGTTTTATAAAACTTTTACTGCTGACAGCAATGAACAGTTGGCATCTAAGAATTCTGGACATTTACTTACCAAATATATTGTGAAGCGGTTTTGTAAGAAGGGAGGATGTTTTAAGTAAAGTTCAAAAGAAAGTCTATTGTTGCTCACAGTTTATTTTTCTTTCAGCCTCTTCGCTTGTTTGTGGATTTTAATCTTCTCTGGTTTCTTGAGGGTAAGATAACTTGTGATCATGGTTAAGATATTCATAGACTCATAGGATAGTTTGGGTTGGAAGGGACATTAAAGATCACCTAGTTCTAACCCTGCTGCTGTAGGTGGGGACACCTTCCACTAGACCAGACTGCTCAGAGCCTGAATTATTAACTTCTACTATGACAAGAAGGGTTTGAACAGCTCAAAATAGCTTAATGAAGGAAAATTCCAAGACAAATCCATTACCCTTCCAGACCATGCTGGTGATCTTTTAACCACTCATTCCTAATTTAGATTTTTGTGGGCTGCTGTTCTTGCCACTGTAAAAGTGGTATTCGTGTTGATTGACAAAATTTGTCAATTGAGATCCAGTACTTGGTTAAGGGAATGGGAAGGAGATTTGGGTTTTAATTGTATTTTGTTTTTCTAATTGTTCTGCTGTTTAGTATTCTGGAGGCCAGAGCTTCCTCATTCTTAAGTGGTGGCACTTCTACTCAGTTAAAGAGATTGTGTGACATGGGACTACGTGGAGTAAGAACACTGAAATGTTACCATAACATATGTTTGTGCATACATAACAGTAGAAAGACTATGTTTTAAATGTGGCTTATTATTATGCAGGGATGTTAAAAAGAAAATGAAATTTACAATATATTTTCATGTTTTATCTGCCTCCAGCTGTTTTTCTATAGTGAGACAGTAGAGTTGGTGTTTGCTGCTGCTGGAGCTCTTCTCTTCTGTGGATTTATTATTTATGACACTCATTTGCTGATGCACAAATTGTCCCCTGAAGAGTACATACTGGCTGCAATCAATCTCTACTTGGACATCATCAATCTGTTCTTACACCTGCTGCGTTTACTGGAGGCATTTAATAAAAAATAGTCAAACCCAGTATGGTTTGGCTATAACATAATTAAAGTTAAGCATTTGGATGATCTACAAACTCAGTAGTTCTGTCTTCTAGGGACTGAATCTTTATTACTTTTTCATTCCATGAATATTGATCCCTCCTTAGGGAAAAAAAAGGCTTAGCTACGGTTCTTCTGTAGAGCAAATATTTTATGTAGTTAACATGCTGTCACCATTTCAGTCACTTTTTTGATCACTTAATTTGCACTTGACATAATTAATGATGAGAAAGTTTGCGAACTTCTGATTGCCGCAGAGTAAGCCTCTCTCTGCTGTTCTGTAGCTGCTGGAAATGTTTCCTTTGGGATTGATTTTAAGTGTGTATACCACATAAGGGTAGCCTGAGTTTACTATTGTGCAATGTTTTACTAAGGTAATTTTTTTCTATTTTTGGTAAAATGGAATTGTGTCTGTGACAGAAATACTCTGTTCTTGCTAAGGGCTGTCACTATGTAAGCTGTGAGGGTGTTAAAACAATTAAAGGGAATATTCTTTATGTAAGTATTATTTATTGCCTATCTTTTGGTGTCCTGCAAAATAATTTGGAGCGAACACTGGCATTTTATTGACTTGTGTATATTAGGGTTAACTGTATGTTAATAAAAATTGGAAAGCCTCTAGTCTGTTCTTGCAGCTGAGAGCAGAGAACTTTGGGATGCTGAGAATGGACGCTGCAGACCCTTTCTGGCAGGGGTGAGGGACTGTGACTGTGGCTGCTTCCCAAGTTGTTGAGGTCCTGGAAGGGCAGGCAGGGTGGAAACAACTTTGAAAGGCTTTCTTAATATTCAGTGAAGTATTGTTAGCCCTCGCCTGTCCTGTCAGTGAGAGGTGAGCAACGAGGCAACGGAGTCAGTGGGAGAAGATGCACGTCCTGCCTCGAGCTGTGACAGCGTATGGAACGTGACTGGGGCCATTGGAGTGTGACTGTAAAGCTTTTTGCCTGAGTGCGATGATCAGCCTTCTGCCTTAGGGTTTCATTCGGAAACGTGCGGCAGTAGCTAAGAATAAAACTTCGGGCTCTTTTCCTCGTGATGAAACACGTGTTTATTTTTCCACCCATCCCCCGCGACACGCGGCGCTGGTTGGACACAGCTGAGCCGTGGCACAAATCGCCTTCTCCTTCCTTTCGCTGCTGCGCGCTCGCTCGGAGAGTTACGGTAGAGGCGCCGGGGCGGGGCGAGGCCGGGATGTGGCGTGCGCATGCGCCGTGCTGTGTGCGGCCTAGTGCGTGGGAGCGCGGTGAGCCTGGAGCGCGGTGAGCCTGGAGCGCGGG